GATGGATGGATGGATGGATGGATGGATGGATGGATGGATGGATGGATGGATGGATGGATGAGCATTCTACTGTCAGGACAAGATAAGATCAGTGAAGCTATGCTGCCCTCATGTGGTCAGAGTCAGAGTAGTTTGACTGTTTCCTTCCTTGAAGGTCAGCAGAGCATCCAGGAGATCTTTGGACACAGTTTAAAAAAAAAAACGTCTTTTTGCAATCATACTGCTGATTGGAAAAATAAAACTTATATTGCTTTACTGTTGTGCTGTTGGAGAGCATCATTTAAAAATATATATATCAACATGAATCTAGCAGAAGGTCAGTGGAAGATCAATTTTAGGAGTCAAGATAATAAAAAATACTGTGATACAATATAAGCTCAAAGAAAATTTTTATATATATATATATAAGCATCTTGCATTTAAGATTTAGAAGAATTTTGTTACCATCAATATGTTCTATCCAGAACTCAGTTGGAACCGTTTAAGTTTCACCATGTTTGAATTCTGTAAAAATAAATATTTTTTTTCTAGCCTATTCCAAAAAGGTTAAAAAGTTGACTATGACCTGGATGACTGAGAATGTTCACCAGCTTTCTATCCTTTTTTTTAACAGCACTAGTGGCTTGTTTTTGGGGGGTATGAGAGAGTGGGAAAGGACCACAGGCCAGATTTGAACCCGAGTCGGCCGCATTAACCACTGTCTTACCTGCACACCGCACCAGCTTTATGTCCTATTATCAATCAAATAATAAAAAAAAACAGATCAATTAGCAAAATGAACATTATTTGCAGCCCTAAATAAATGAACATTTCTACGTTTTCCCATTGTACTATAAAACAATCAATGAATAGTTACTGAGCAAAACACTTAACCTCACAATGCTCCCTGGGCGCCTCACGAATGCAGCCCACTGCTCCCCAAGGGGACTGGTTAAATGCAGAGGTAAATTTCTCCAATGTGAGATCAATAAAGTTCAATTATTATTATGAACCAAGCAGAAGGGAATGTGCACTGAGGAGAAGTGCTCCGTGGAACAAGACAGGTGGAGTTTTATTCACCAGACTGAGAGCATTGGCAGGAATGGAAGGGTGGAAAATTGGACCAAAAAAAAAACACAAAATGACTCATACCGTTAGCATATCTAGGTTGAAACTAATTATTTTACCAAAATGTTTCTTTGATTTCAGAGGAGCATCTCAGAGTTCTGATTTTTATTTGA